CTAATTCAATTTTATTTTTTAAATTAAATGTTCACGAGGTCTTATAAATTCTGATAATTTTAGTTTAGATATGTTCATGTTTGATAAATTGAAGAGAATACACCCATATTATATTTGTGGTCATAATTACAATTGGTATGATAATGATAAGATAGACAATCCATCATGAAAATGTATTACAGATTGAACAGACACAAAATTGGTAAGTTATTAGTGAGTATCTAACATAAAAATGTCACACTCAAATTCCATTAATTTAACACATAATTGATATTTTATTTTTTGGACATTGGCAATATTTTGACCAGTAAAGTTTGTTGGCAAAATCTAAACTACTTCTTGAAAGTGTTAATAAAATATACTAGATTACTAGGCAGTTAGGCTGGAGAAACTTGAACCCATCCACTAGATTTATAAATATTGATATGAAAAACTGGTTTATTGTTGAGAATATTATAAAGGCTAAATAATTTTATTTTATTTTTTTATATATATATAAAAAAAAAAAGTCTCAATATTTTTTAATTTTTTTTTATTTAAAGTAAGCTAGCAAATAAACTTCTTATTATGAAAGGTAAAACTATAAAAGCACTCAAACTATTCTTTTCTCACAAGTCACAAGCCACACAAGGTACACTACTTTTTTCTCTTGAATTGATGAAAATGACCCATAAAAATATATTTTTCATTTTATTCTGCAATCTAACTGCTTCATTATATGTTAGTTGGAGGATGAAAGTTACACAAGTGACTCACCACTATATTCCTAATTTTGACATTATATAAAGACCTTATAAATTTTATCTTCATTTTATTATTTAAATGGCTGAAATTTTTCATCCCATCTACTTCAAGATGAATCATGCCAAGAGACTAATAATGCATCTAAGATATTATAATATTCAATTCTTTAATTTTGACATGTGTCCTATTATTACTAAAATGAACTATTTATCTACTTACGCTGAAAATCCCAATATGCAAAAAGAAGCACGAGGATCAAATTGACTTAAAGGTGAGAGAGGCAGAGGAGTGATAAGTCTATTATGCGTAGTATATTTTTTTTTTTAACCCTCCTATCATGGTTATATTTGTGCTTATTTGAGCTTTGCGATGCTATTTTTATTATAGATACACAGTTTTTAGTGTTTTTATAGATTTGGTATTGTTATATAAGAATTGATAGATTTACGACAATTCTTGAGCTTATTAAAACTACAATTAAATACAAATTATATTTTTGACCGAAGATTAAAAGCTCCAGAATGGATAATTTGGTCCGGTGATTAAAGGCTCGATTAAGTGAATTGGTTACAAAGCTCCAAGCTGAACCAATAAAATGAAAGTTCGGCCCAAAAAAGATGAGTCCATGATAAATGAAGCAAAGGAGCGCAAATGTTTAGATAGACTTTTGTCCAGCCACCACTTATTGGTCCATTTACTGTTTAGGATGAGCATTTGGATTTGACAATGAGTAATTGATTATCTATTGATTTAAAAATTAACATTTATTAATTTGGAAATGAACATATTGTATACACCCTCTGTGTGTTTTTTAAGTGTTAGAATTTGAACGACACATAGTTTTAGGTAATTTAATTGACTTAAATAAAATAAGAGGTAAGTGGGGTAGTTAGAGTATTAAAAAATTGTAAAAGAAAGATAGTGGAGTTAATAGTTTATTAAAAAGTAATGAATGTAAGAGAAAAGATATAATAATAAAAAAAACAGTTGTGGGTTTGGGTAAGGACCATGAGAGGAGATAGATATAATATTTTAATGTAGTTTTTTGCCAAAAAAAAGGAAGTGTAACACTTAAAAAAACACGGTCGGAAATGAGAAGTATAACACTTAAAAAAACACGGAGAGGGTAATTATATTAGGGCTGGTAAAAGCTGACCCAACCTGACAACACCACTCGAATTCAACTTGAAATAAATGGGTTTTGATTGAGATTTTCAACCTGTTTATCTAATTGGGTCACTCACTCGATTTGAAAATAAATGGGTTAGGTTCAAATTTATATGTGTTTTAAAAAACGAATATTTACAAATTTGGAAATGATCATTATATATATATATATAGTACATGATTTAAAATTGAATATATATAGATTAGAAAATGAACATGTTGTATAATTATACAAGTAAATGTATTAAAATAAATTTTATGCAAATGAAGTATATCTTTAATACGAAGTATGTTTTATAACAAATTTCCCTATTATAAATTCTCAAATAAAATGAAATTTTATTGAACAAAAGAAATGGCATACAGATTACTGTACAATTGGTTTAAGCTGCACCAGGGTGCAGCTTAGATATGTGCAACATCGGCCCAAAAGCCCAATTACACACGCCCCATTAAAAAAAGCCCTAAAACAAAACTAGACAACACAGAATTGCTGCCCTCCACACCCAATTAAAAACTGCTATAGTTTTATTTCAAAAAAAAAAATAAAAAAAAATTGTCAATTCATTCTTCTATGTCTTCAACTTTTCCCAATATCTTTAATTCTTTATACTTCACTTCTCTCTCCTCTTATAATTTTCTCTCTCTAAAAAACTAAAAATTGTCATGGTATTTGAAATGAGGTAAAAAAATCAACCAAATTTCCCAAAAAAAAACCGTTTAGTTATTTCAAACATTTTTACAATTAATTTCTGTTGTTATTTTCTCACTCTAACAAAGATCCTTCTCGCTCCTCTACATGATTTCACTTCACTAACAAACTGAAAAATAACAATGAATATTAGAGAAGAATGAAAATAAAATGATTCTCTCAATAAAAGGAGAATTTTTATGAATATCAGTGACTTTCGTCGTTAATTTTCGTCCGAAGTTTTTGATGCTCTATTCGAATTGTTTGTTTCGTAATTATATTAGGAAACCAATGCATGTCCATATTTTGATTGGTTATGTTCACTCTTTGAAATGCACATGTTCATATTTTTATGCCTATTTTCACTTTCTGAAAAGCTAATGTTCACGTTTAAAGGAACCTATGCATATGCTCATATTTTGCATGATTATGTTCATTTTCTGGAATTCATATTTTTTTTTTGAATATGTTCATATTTTTAATACTTATAATGCATATGTTTCATAATCATATTATTTTTTATTTTTTCAAATTTTTATGCTCATAATTAAATGCATTATATTCATAATAATATTTTATATGTTCATAGATAATTTCAAATATTCATAATGTATTTATGTGTTTTTACGAAATATTTTCATTAAATATGTTTATGCATATGCTGTCTTTCTCAAATGTTTATGTTCATATTTTTTTACGCATATGTTCACCATTTAAATGCTTTTATTCTTCGTCAAAAAAACAAATTAAAAAAAATAAATGCTTATATTCACTTTAAGAAAACCAATGCTTACGTTCACATTTTGAATTTTATGTTCACTTTCTGAAAATGCATAAATTTTTTTTTTAAATTTTTTTATGCATATATTCATATTTTTATGCCTATGTTCACTTTCTGAAAAAGCTAATGTTCACATTTAAGGGAACCTATGCTTATGCTCATATGTTGCATGATTATGTTCATTGATAAAAAAAAAGTGCAAAAAATCAGATGAAATTCATACACAGATGAAATTGGTCGAAGCTAACAAAATTCTTCATGTGAATTCAAAAAATCAGACAAAACTTATCAATCGAAATTAAGCACAAACTCACCACATAATAAATCGAAATTCATGCATAAATCGAAACAATTACAATTGAAATTCACACAAAATTCATACATAATATTTTTTTTTTTAAAAAAAGAGGAGAGATAAATTAAAAAAGGAGAAAAAAAATAGAGGAGACAAAATTATAATGATATTTTTGATCGAAAATTTTAATGAGAATTAGGAAAGAAAAGAGAAGAGAGAGAATTGGGAAGAAGGAAACCAAGAATTTAAAAAAGGAAACAAACTAATGCGGAAGAATGTTAGCTAGGTTTTATGATATGACTTTGGGCTGCATGCGTTTCACGCAGAATATCTTGTGTTTCATGGTTGTTGTATCTAATCCTATATACATGAGGTTGCAGCTATCCTATATACATGAGGTTGCAGCTAAGAATATGTGACAAACATAATAAAAAATCACATATTGTAGACTTAGACCTGTCAATTTGGGTCAATGAGTCAGGTTTGAGTCAAATTTTGGATTATTTGGTTTGAATCGATTGGATCATTACAGAATACGAAATTGTGTCGGATGAAGTTATCGGGTCAGGTCAGAAATTAACAACTCTAAATGTAGCCTATTGACTCTATTCCTTAAGTCCATTACCCAATGAATCCAGAGAGTGTAAATGGGCTGGGCTAGTAACACAATCCCTCAACAAAACCCTAATTTCCCCCAAATAAAACCCCAATCAATCCCCAAAAACCCTAACCCTCACCCTCCTCCCCCATTTCATCAGCAGCCTGAAAAACCAGAGGAGAGAGAAAGAGAGCACAAAAATGCAGATCTTCGTGAAAACCCTAACGGGTAAAACCATAACCCTAGAAGTCGAATCCTCTGACACAATCGACAATGTGAAAGCCAAGATCCAAGACAAAGAAGGCATCCCACCCGACCAACAACGCCTCATCTTCGCCGGAAAACAGCTCGAAGATGGCCGCACTTTAGCCGACTACAACATCCAGAAGGAGTCGACTCTTCACCTTGTTCTTCGTCTTCGTGGTGGTGCCAAGAAGAGGAAGAAGAAGACTTACACTAAGCCTAAGAAGATTAAGCACAAGAAGAAGAAGGTTAAGCTCGCTGTTCTTCAGTTTTACAAGGTTGATGATTCTGCTAAGGTTCAGAGGTTGAGGAAGGAGTGCCCTAATGCTGAGTGTGGTGCTGGTACTTTTATGGCTAATCATTTTGATCGCCATTATTGTGGTAAGTGTGGTCTTACCTATGTTTACCAGAAAGCTGGAGGTGATTGATTGATTTCCAGTTTTTGGAGTTTAATCCAATGAATTCTGTTAACTAGTTTTTAGTTTTTGTTATCAAACCTATGTTTTGTTGAGGATTGGTTATTATAATTACTCTTATTTGGAAATGTTGAATCTACAATTTTGAATCTCTGTGTTTTTTATTTGTTTTTTTTTAAAAAAAAAATTAGGGATGGAGTATAAAAGTATAGTGTTCATCCCATACATACATCAGAAAAAAATTGTGTTCTGACTACAAAAATTGAAAAAAACTGAATTTAGGAAGAATGGATTTTGAGATTTTGACAATACAACAGTAGTTGAGCAACTGTTATACATTGTGCTCTGCGACAAAATATTTAATGCAGTTGAATTTGAGTATAACCCCGCGGCTTATATTTGTGTAAAACATCTCACATTAAACATATGAATACTCCATACATATTCAGTTGCACCACTGTCTGAAGGCGGAACACATGGCCTGACTGCACCGCCCTCGGATACAAAGCACAGTTTAAATTCTCCCCCATTGCCCCAGTGTCTGGAATCAGTTTTAACACACTTTGTATAAATCAGTTTTAACACACTTTGTATAAATCAGTTTTATAGACTAGTAAGTAGTAACAATCTGGACTTGTAATGTTGAAAGCAAACCTCACTCCCTTGTCAATGCCTTCAGTTTAACTACTGGTTGTCTAGTAGTGAAATCAATTAATCAGTTGTGCAGTACCATGTATCAATGGAATATGATGTACAGCTCCAAATACTTTATTTTCGCTTGTAACAAATTAATCAATGGACAAAAAATTCAACCTCGGGAAATCTTGGGATTGGATAATCCTGTCGAGACTTGGATGATTTTATTGAAATCTTTACTTCACCATCTTTTTGTTGAGGTTGTCGAGATTCCATGGCCAAACAAGGCAAAATGTATGTACGATAACGTTTGTTGTTCGAGTAGATTTTTTGAAATCATATCGTCTGCCACACCAACTTAACATGGACAATTCCATACTCAGAATCAATCAGATCGTATATCTCATTGACACGTCCATTGTTCACTACATCAGCCAGACTGATCTCCACAAACCCAGCTGAATCCTGCACAATATAAAAGTTCACAGTTAATCAACAAGAAATAGTAGTAGCAGAGGGCTTTAAGATACTATAAATGGGGAAATTGAGGAGCATATTTTTACTTTTCTTGTAAAACCACAAGTTCTACTTTCGCTGAAAATTTTGATGTACAACTTTTCATGCAAAAGTGGCTCATCAACTATATATGTAAAGTGTTCATCCCACCATGGATTCCAATTTCTCTTGATAGTCTGCATAAACATTGATGAATCAGAAACAAATTGAGTTTCTGACTATAAAAATTGAAAGAAACTGAATTTAGTGAGAGATCAATTTTGATAATACAACGAATATATGTGAGCACTTGAGCAACTGTAATACATTTCTACAATGAAAAACAACTTTAATATAAACAATTCGTATTAACGAGCACTTAAGCCATTTCAGAAAGAAATGATGAATTCAGATGAACTTCAGTATAACCCCACTTAAACTTGTCTGAAACTTCTTACATTGAATGATTTGACGATTCAGAAAAATTATGAATACCAAGAAGCTTACGAAGAAGTACATTGTTTATATTTCATCCATCATAAAAAATACTCGTACATTTTCAATTGCACCATGCAAACTGTCTGAACTCTGAAGGCAGAAACATAGCCAAGCTGCCCTCAGTCAGTGTTACCATACTTTGAAGTATAAAGCAAGTTGTTCACAGAAGTAATACAAGGTATAATACACAATTACACACTTATTTGCATTATGCAAAATAGTTGCTGGGGTTTTTATGTATAAATCCAGTAACTTTTTTTTCCTATGAAAACCACTCTATCCGCCATCCGGATTGAATTGTCACATTAACAGTTTAAATCACAGTTCTATAGTAAATATCGATTTTAGGCAGTGGAAGTACAACATTGACTTCTTGTTGAGCACAATGCAACACCTTGCTTAACTGCCTCTGACGGAAGATCCTTGAGCTGAACCTGTCCACCAGGAGCCCAAGAATCCTCTAAAATCAGAGGCTAGTGGAAGTCGGTTGTTCTAATGCCTCCAAACATTATACGAAGTGCTAGGGCTTAAAAGCAATTCTCTTGCTGGTTACAAATACATTGAAAATCACATATAATAAATCGACTCAAAGTAAATATTTTTGCTTGGCAACACTTTTAGATACTGAAATATTTTCATGTACATCTTCGTTATCATGAGAGAGAAGCTTCAATAAAAAATTGTGAGTAACTCACCCTTGTTTTCTTTATTTCACCTCTGTACACAATCTGAGCATAAGCGTTGGTGTGCTGCTCTCCCTCTACATCTTTCGCTGATATGACGTTAACCAAAAGTGCTCCACTTTCACAAATAATTGGGGCATCAGATAAAGATCTATCTATGCTGTCACTCCCCTGTCTCCCCAACTTGAAAGGATCAAAAGTGAGCTCGACTACAAGCTGCCCCCTTGGTTTCTTATCAGGAGAATCGTTCACATCAAAATTCTTGAGCAAGTCGAGGGTAAAAATCTTTTTCTCGTGGGGAGTTAGTTGATTCAAAGGTACTACTTGCATCCCCATATAATCATCCCCTCCAAACTGCATGCAAAAGCATTAATTGTGAGATAATTAAAGCTATATATAATTACATATTTACAACGCCTTCAATGTGGTCATGTAATGTTGTAAACATTAGCAAACTCATAAATGTGAGGGAACCCAACTATGAAAACATAACTCAATAATGTTCTTCCAACAAGGGATGTGAAAGTAGCAAGAAGGTGATTTTTTTTTTTTTTTTTTCCAACAAGCTAAATCAACCATGGGGTAAAGTGTGAAACCACATTTCATACAGATATACACATCTAATAAAACGGTTCCAAATTTGTAAGCAACTCATACAGATTAACAGATAGATGTTTAGTGTCTACTTCTAGGATTATCTTCTAAAGCTGTGATTTCTTATTTTCAACAGGTCATCTGATGGAATAGATTATGTCTGATTAATGATCAATTGATCATTGACAGTACTCCTGCAGAGATATTTTCTTTGTAGAAGCCAAGGGTATTCAATACGTCTAAAGCCTAAAATTGGACCATAATTAGGTGATAATTGATGACTGAAAGTCAGTCTAAGAGAGTAAGAGGAGTTTAAAAAGAAAACCTTGTCCCAGTCATAAACTTGTAGCTCAAGAACTTGGGTTTCAGGATCCTTGACGAATAGTTTAAAATCCTCATTCCACTTTGGATTCAAGGTCCTGTTCTTGATAGATGTTTTTCCCAATGTCCTTTTTACATTGCTCAACCTTAATTTAACATATGGATCAGATGTTCCTAAAAGATCTATCTTCCAAAGCCTCATTGCCCGGATAACTTTTACATATAATATGCCGCCAACAGGCTTGGCAACTCTGCATGGACATACAACACACAAAATAATAAAAAGGCGGTAAATGGATGAAAACATATCCTAAGCAAAGAGGGGGAGGGGGAGAGGGGGAGGGGGTAGTATACAAATAAGGTGTGATTATCAGTCATTTAATACGGACTGCTGGTGTAAACTTTGATAACCAACACCACATCTGTAGTCTGTATAGTGCTTCAAAATGCATCAAGGTCTAATATAATTTGTGTGTCTCTAATATCTATATACAAGTATATATATACAGCTCACCCATCTATGAAGTAAAACTTACGTTGACTGATCAAAAATGGGAAATTTATACGATTTGGGCCAGTGATAAAGGCTTGTAACTTGTTTCTTGATAGTTTCCTGCACATAAACAGCCTAGTCAGTCAGCTATACGATATATCTACAATTTGGACTGCTGACCTCTATCCATTAAACTAATCCTATGGTTTTACCTGAATTAAGCGATAAAGACCAGGTATAGACATGACATCTCCTCCAAGAACTTTTAGTCCAAAATCCACATGCGGCTGCAAAAAGCTTTTAAGATCAACAGTAGGAGTTGCTAACATATTTTGATGCAACATAAAAAAACTGATTTAAATAGGACAATACCTGTTCCAATAATGAGACCACTAAGCTTTCGAAACATGGGAATGTTGGAACAAGGGGTTCCAGGTGTATCCTAAGATTAGCGAATATTTGTACGTCCACAAGCTGAAAAAAGAGGACATTTGGTTTTCAGTATGAATTGGATTTTAGTATGGACTAAACTATACCTGCATTGAGTCGATTCTTACTTGAATCCTGATTTTTGCTGACATAAACTTGACAGCAAACACTATATTGGGATTTCCTGCCCATCTAATAGCTGGTTCCAAGACCAGTTGCTTTTCATTCGTCTCATATGCTGTCATACCTGCAAAAGGTGGTATCAGTAAAAGTGAGAGGTTGAGATGAAACTCAAGAAATAAAACTTAAGCTGGTTCTAAACTTCACAAGTCACTGCAGACATTGAAAAGATATCAATTGTAGTTAAGCAGGATTGCTGGAGTAAACAAAATATGTTTCTTGTCCAAAAGATTACACAAATGTAACAGAATTATCCTTGATCACAACAAGAAATAAAGAATAAGCCTATAACTAAAAGATATCGAAGGTAATATGAAGTATACATTTGCAAAACAAGATTTTTAGAGGGATTGAATTCCGATGAACGAACATTTTCTTTTGGCCATTAAGATTTAGAAAATTAAAGTATCATGATCCTCAAAACAAAAAACAAAAAAAAAAACAAACAAAGGCATAAAATTGTCCAAGTTAAATTATTTTTACCATGAGTATACTCACCAAGTCACCGATAAATAAGAAAATAATATTGTCGAATAATTAGCTTTACAATTATTAATTACATGTAATTGAAGATATTGTTAGCCAGAGATATGTTTTGAATATTGAACAAAAAGTAAATGGGATTAACATTAAGGATCGAACAGCAGTTGTACAACCACTTAATATCAGTCTAGAACAGTCAAATTAAACCAACAAGCAGGCCTTTGAGAAACTAGTTCATGAACAAAAAACTTTTTCCAACACATGATTTATGGAAAATTGACAATATAATTGAATCTAGTCTAAGACCAAGCTAAAGACAGCATAAACGAAAAAATAGAAGCAGAAGACAGGAACGTAATCTACTGCAGTAGCTTTAAAAGCCAAATTTGCTAATCTGACATTCTGACATAACATAGGTTAAAGCCGCTTCTGGAGTGCAGGAAACTAAGAGTTAAACTGTTATCTTAAACATGGAATGACTAAAATTAGCAGACCCAGATTCACAAAATTGAAACCAGGACTGTATTAAGCTAGAAATCAACTAAATGTATTGTTGAACACCAAGGCTGAGAATCCGGACAGAAATAGTTTGAATCAGAAATATCTTCAACAGAAAACACTACAGCAGTGTTGTTTTACAAAAAAGAATTACTCTTGACTGGTATTGTAGATATCTCTAATCATGTTATTAAGAGTTGCCTTAAAGATTCAGAGTGCCTGCTATACATAGTAAACAACTAAACACGACTTCCCCAAACAGGTTCCTTTTACAGGTTCTTTTCCACTAAATTAGAGAAGACTTTACAGTTTATTTTCAACCGAGTTCAATATAAAGAATTAGTGATGAGCATAGTGTCAGGCTGAGCCACATTTGAATTCTCTCCTGTATGAGACGAATGAACATTAGAAAGAGTTGTACTGCATCATGCATTATTACTCAAGGACTATGTCGAAATTAGAACCATAGGCAGAATGTTTTTGATATATTAGCCAATAGCCACCACTCATCAACTATCTCCTCCTCATCTGAAACTGTTATTTCTCAAAATTAGGTGAAAAATTACAAGGTCCTAGAAAGATTTGTTCTTCCACACAAAATATAAAATACACGTACCATATATTAATATATGTGTACTAGTAGCTAAAAATCAAACTGGTAAAGCATACTCACCATAGAATATAGGTGGAAGGGTTCCAAGACTTGGATTCTCTAAATAAATGGCTATCTTATATTTTCCTATGAAGTCAAATTGTTTAGGCTTTGCCTTGCTTTTGATCATGTTGCAGATTGCCTGTTCATATTGATAAATTGAACATCAGGGTTTACTCAAATAGTAGTTTCACACTTTTGCCAAGAAAAACTCACCCTATCTAGGTAAGGCCACATATTTAACACAAACTTGTTCAGCCAATCCACCTGATTCATTGAAGCCTGCTTAGGATATCTTCATCTAGATATTAAAGGTAATTAATAATAAGAAATCCGAAAACTACTACTTACTCGATCATGATCGGGACTCTTTACCCAATTTGGAATATAGGGTAAAGCACTCAACAGAGTATCTCTATCGAATTCCTGAAGTGGTATAACAACTGGCACCTGCGTCCATTTATAACAAGCTCATGAGAAAAAATTTATAGAAACCTTCTTGATGCAAACACAAAATAAAATTTTAAACTTATAGTCAGACTAAGCAATTGAATTAGTTTGTTCATATGTTGCATCTGAGCAATTTGCCATCCTGTTAGTCTAAGTAGTATTGCCATTGCTGCAGAGCTTCTTAATCCAGAACATTGAGATAAATCACACTGAATGGTTAATTTCAAATGCCCATTTAGTACATTCGAAAAACAGATGCTCCAAAGTCATCATAATTTGTTAGAAAGAATTCAACACGTATGGAAAGTAGATTAAGAGATCATAGCATAACCAAAATGCCCACTAGACCCTTGCTCAAAGATACTATTTTACATTATAGAGATGTAGAGAGACCCTTAATTGAGAATACACTACAATGTATTATCAAATATTTAGGTGTATCAAGATCATCAAAGGTGGTGGCTTAAACAGGATCAAAAGCATTGTATCGATAGTATTCAATTTTAAAGTCAAGGGTATCACCCCCAATTTTTCATCAACTAAGCTAGTACACACCCATTAGGTACATGTCGATAGGGGGAGGGGGCGATCTTTATTCTGCTTTTACTGCAACCATGTGTACATTATAAGAATAAACAAGATCAATTTAATTTCCCGGAATCACCATCATAGTATTGAAGATCTTGCAGTAATTTTATTTGATATCAGGCCATACAAAGAGAGATACAACAAGACAGCATCAATCCATTTTCTTTCAATTTACATGATTATCACAGTTCCACACCTCTATCGATCCAGATATAGTCTAAGAATGTGAAATGTTAGCAACTTAGCATGGAGGGGAGGAAGACTAATTTCTTGTCAGCCCTCCTACTCAACATGACATTGCTATGCCAACTATCAAACAAACAAGAACTTAACTATTTAATGAACCAACTTAGCCCAAATCAGTGAATGCACCTTAGCTAATTCTGGTGCAAGAAATTCAGTGAATGAACCAACTTAATCAAAAACCTTAGCTCCAGAATCCCATTGAATGTTTACACAATGACCAAATCTTATTTATCTCTTTTTTTCGAGATTTTGCAACGAATTATAGCAAACTTAAAGGTTGGAAGTATTCAACTATATAAATCAAATTAAAGCACAATTGCACAAATGCTATAGTTTATCCATAATGATAATCATTCATTTGACATAATACTAAAAATTCAGCTGAAAGAACTAAAACCCCAAGAATAATATAATACCATTATATCAAGCAAAAAAAAAAACACAAATAAAATGACAAAGAATTGAAAATGAACACAAAGTACATTAACAAAGAAAAGATCATACAATTATCATAAGTATAAAACAATCATCACTCAGTCAAACATTTTATCAAACAGTAAATGTGCATTACCACACCATCTTTAGGCTCAGAATATATGAAGAAGAAAAACCCAACAGCAAGTCCAATTGGGACACCAATGCAAAAACCCAGAATTCCTATAAAAGTAATCACAAAACCCATATCTTTTTTCTTTGACATAATCAGTCTTTAACTATGATATGATATACAGTGTTCATAAATGCTTTGTTTTTTGGTTTATAAGTACAATAGTACAACATATTAGAATTTATGGCTTTATATACTAGGCAGTTAAGCTAGAGAAATTTGAATTTATCCAATGGCTTCAGAAATATTGATGTGATGATTATATGTATATTGTTGAGAAAAATATAAAAGCTACAAAAATAATCTATCAAGTTAGGGCCTGTTCATATTTACTGAACTGAGCTGAACTGAACTGAACTGAACTGAACTGATTGGAGCTGAACTGAACTGAATTGAACTGATTGGAGCTGAACTGAATTGAACTGAACTGAACTAAGCTGAAATGAATATTTTATGAGAGAGGGAAATTAAGAGCTGAACTGAACTGAACTGATTAGAGCTGAACTGAACTGAACTAAAAATAAGTAAATATGAACAGACCCTTATTCTCTTTTTTCTTTTTTGGTAAGTAAACATATACAAGTATTATTCAATTACTTTACTTTTGGTAATCTTTATGAAAGTGACTAATAAATACTCCCTTCGTCCCCCGATTGATAGTTACTTTTTCTATTTTTATTGACTCAAAATGTTAGTCATATTTGTTTTTTTTAAGTACCATTAATATTATTTTTTTTACCAAAATTCTCTAATATTTGCAAAAATATTTGTGCAAATTTTACTTTCCCATGTACTTTAATTATTTTATCTCTCTATTTTTTTTGCATACCCAATGTAATTACATTTTTCAATATACTATTTTTCTTTGTAAGTGACTATCAATCAGGGACGGAGGTTTATTTTATAAATTTGCAACCCAGTAGATTCTTTAATTTGTTTGTTGGAGGATGAATAGTTGTACACGTGATTCACCTTTATAACCTACATAAGTCATGTTTGCCGGTAGCTTTTCAGGTAATAATTAGCGTTTTGGCCAAGTTAAAACATTAGAAAAAAAATAAGAGTGTTTGATAAAATAACATTTTATGTATGTAATGGTCAGTGGTAGAGGTACTGTATTGGTAGCTTAGCTTTCCTCACACGTTAATAATGTTAGCAATTGGAAGGTACTCCATACTTATTAACTATTACGCATTTACGCACAGTTAAATAATCCCAATTTTCACATGTGTTTTCTCAAACCGGTCAACAACTTAATATTTAAGGTTACTTGACCGCGAGTGTCCAAATAATAATAAAAAAATCATTTATTTATTTATTTTTTTTTTTTTTTTTGCATGCATGGTTTGGTTTGGGTTGGTAGCCTAGCACGGTGTCTGTGTGACATCCTCCTGCAGTCCTGCATCCAGAATTTCTCAAATTTCAAAGAAAAAAACCTGAATTCGTACTACACAATAAATACAAGCTAAATTTTCATTAATACCACCCAATTTTACTCTGCTTCTCACCCATTTTCACTCTCAGAAGTGCAATTTTGCTCTTACAGGACTCAATTACTGCTACTTCTGGTATATTTATTTATCTACCTTCTTTCTCTTCTACCCTTTTTATTCATCATAATCCCCTCTTCTTCAACTTTTTGGGGTTTTTTTTTGCTGATATTTTTGATTGGTTTGGTTCTGAAATGGTTTATTTCTTCAATTGTTAGTGGGTGTTTTGGATGCATTGAATGAGTAAATACAAATGAAATTAGTTGACTATCATATTTTACTGTGGTTTTTGTATTTATCTTTGTATATAATTTATGGCTTTATGCTTTGTGATTTGTGATTATTTGTGTGAGTAGCTCACAACTATTCATTGTCTTTTGTACGTTTGTGTTTTAGGGATTCAAGGGTTTTTATTTTTCTGTGTAAAATATGATTAAATTAAAGAATTTGTTGGTCAATTGCACTTCTTTTTAAGGTTTTAATAATTGTTAGGGTTTGAAATTTATGTGTGAGAGGAAGTGCTGACTGACTGCTGAGAGTTTGGGATGTGTGTATGAGAGGAGGTGCTGATTGCTGAGGGTTTATCAATGTGATGGAGTAAATTCACTTGAGTCCTACATCGAGTTGAAAAAGAAAAAGGCGGTGTATTGGGTTGTGTTCTTGTGTATGCTGGTGATTTTGAAATTTGGTGGGTTGATATTTCGGCCTTTTGGGTTTTGTTGATGCAGTAATAAAGATGAGGTTTGCTGGGTTATTAGCAAAGTATGGGGAAAACTTGTCATCATTTTGTGTGTTGAGTCCTCAGTTTTAACTTGATTTTGCATTGTCCTGTATAGCAAGGGTTGATTTACTTTCGTTAGTAGTTAAATCGTGATTAATATTGCTTTGGGTTATTGAATTGGTGTATTCTTGAATACAACACGAGTGGTTGAATGGTTGTTTGTCTGTCTAAGTCTTTCGAGTGAATTGAATGTTGTCTATCGGTCTATTTGTTTATTTCATCTTTTGTTGCTTGGCTTCTTGCGATATTTGCTTTTAATTGCAGCTAGTCTGTTGGTCTTTGGCCTTTGTCCATAGTAGTTTTATTGGGTGGAAGTCTTGATTGCTGATCATATGAGAGTGTACCATTAAGATTGCAGATTGGATTTTCTAAACTAATGTATCAGAATATTCACTATGATTTTAAATGGGGGCTTGTAAACTGTGTTGTTCAGGTTGTATCTATTGCCTTTAATACTTTGTGCTGAAGGAGCTGATGTTTTTTCTTCAGTAATTATTATGAAGTGTATCATCTAGCTTCATCTGGCAGACATGTTTTGAGATTTTATGCACTAATTTATTGTTTGGCTTGATTCTGTTTTCTGAATTTCTTTATTTTGTTGAATCTTAAATTCTCTGTCTTTCGTATATCAGTAGAGATTAATAGTAAATCTGAATGGAGTATTTCAATGCAGCTTCTTTTCCTTCCACTTTCTTCAATGGCCCTCCATAAGATGAAGATATTCAATTCTGTTGCCAGCAAGATTCTGTGCACCGTGAAATCTTCTCAACACTTCAGCAAACGTGGATTCTGCAGCTTCTACGGTGAGTCAACAGAAGCCAAGAACGTGAACGTCTTCATGAAACAGGGCCCACAGAAATCCATGGAGTCATGGGAAGAAGATGGATCGCTTCGATTTCGGTTTGATATTCCAGGAGTCCCAAAAGAGAAAGTAAAGCTGGAGGTTGTAGGGAATACATTGACTTTTGAAGCTGAAGCAGTGGAGATTCCATGTGATGAGGGAATTCGGGCTTACGACACTTCCATTGAGCTGAACCCAATATTTTACAATCTAGCCAAAGTCCAGGTAGAACTACTTCATGGAGTTCTGTACATTGACATTCCTATCCATTCCTCTCCCTAGATTTTATCGTGTCATGAGTTTGTGAAATGGTAGCCTATCATCTATTCATTTCTTGAAATGTAAATACACAACAAAATATTTCTGTAATCAGAGTTAAAACTGAAAATTCTGTCTCATAGACCCTATTAGAACCCCAGAATTTTATGCTCCTCTTCTAAAACATTTCTGTAGCACATTCTCTGCATTACGAAATAGTAGTTTAGCTCCCCGTTGCTGGACTGTTCTTCTTGTACCGTTGTACGTACATTGATTTAGGGAAATCTTTCAGTCAGCAGTAACCTAATTTGGAAGCTGATGCTGGAAAATGAAAAGAAATTTTGAAATCAGAGTGAAACTGTCTCATACATAAACAGATTATTTTGTATATGATGTTTAACCTGAACCTGTTCCTAATGCTGTGCCGTTTTAATTTATGTTTCCTGCATAAACATCACGTTGGCTTTGAAGCAGCTGCATGGTACTGGCATTTTGTAGACGTGGTTTGGTTATTCTTATTTGTCTCTATCTATTGGTGGGGAGGTATATGAATGGTTTTTGAGCTTTAAATGTTATGAGCAGTATCGTAGTTTTATCTGACCAAGAAGGTAAGAAGTATACATGGCTCATACAATACTTTGTGTGATGTTACATACATTACTGTCAGTTTTGTGTAACATAGGAATATATGAACATGTGTAACTAAACAACATGCGCTAGAGTTGTTCCATAGAGAAACACACAAGCAAGTTCGTGGAACCATGGAAGAGCTGCAGCCACATTCGAAGTTCAGGGGTTAGAAATGTTGGGATACCATGGTGTGAAACTGCCTGCTTGGGCAATTGATAATAACATGGTAAAATCTCTCCCTTTTCTTGTAAAGCTTCATCTTGAAGATTGCAAGGACTTGGAGCAAGTGCCACGCTTAGGAAAATTGCAAAATCTGAAGGTGCTCTCGCTTTTATCATTAGAAAAATTGGAGTATATAGAAGAAGATGATCCTCAGGCTTCTGTGTCTGGATTGTTAACTGCAGAAGAACCACCGTATTTTCCCTCCCTAGAGCAACTTTGGCTAAAAAACTTGCTAAAGTTGAAAGGATGGATGAAATCAGGGGTGGAGTTGGATGATGTTCGTCTTTCTCAATTGAATTCATTGGTTATAGACAAATGCCCAGAACTGACATGGATCCCGCAAAGTCCTATCCTAGAGGATCTGACTGTATATTCATTCAATGAAAGACTGATGCTGATGAGAATCCATGAAGTTTCATATAGTCCTCCCTCATCTCCTTCATATTTGAACATTGGCATTCCCTCTTCATCGCAGTCAATTGACCCTGGAAGTTCAAGTAATAGTTATAGTAGTAACGTTCTGAAATTAATTAAGGGCAGTGGAATCAGACAATGTGGCCTGGCTAAACTCACTACCAGTTGAGGCTTTTAAGTGCCTATCTGAGATGCACATTAAATATGATAAAGCGGTGGAGAGTACTAATGAGAAGATTGCTTGTAACGTGACTGTTCGAGGTGATAAGGCAGTGCAGCTACTCGAAAGTGGTTTAAAGGTCAAGGAGTACGAGTTACTCAACAAAAACTTCAGTCACACTGGCTGCTTTGGTTTTGGTATTCAAGAACACATCGATCTTGGAATTAAGTATGTTATCTCGACTATTAGCTTTCTTTCTTTCATTAATTATTGCTAGTGTTGCTTCAAATATGGTCGATTGTTTGTTTATTTGCTAGTTGATATTAAGTTGATCATCAATCTTAATTATATTTCCTCTTTTCAGGTATGACTTTTCTACTGGTATCTACGGTATGGACTTCTATGTTGTTCTCGAGCGTCCTGGATACCGTGTTGGCAGTCACAAAAGGTGTAAGGCTCGAGTTGGAAATCAGCACAGAGTTAACAAGGACGATGCCATGATGTGGTTCCAAGAGCAAATATGAAGGAGTTATTCTCAACAACGCCCATAATATTGCTGCTTAAACTTGGCTAGCACCAGCATTCAAAAGGATATCTATCATTTTAGCTCTCCTTTTATGTACTTTTTAGTTTCCTCTTGATTGCTAGATTAGCTAAAAGGATCCTCTCTTGATTAGAACACTAATATTTCCTTTTTGTGGAAAGAAAACAATGCCTCGACCCACGTGCCAAAGCAAACAAAAGAAAAAGAAAAAAAAAGGAAAAGTATCCGTTGGGAGCAAAATGACAAACCAACGTCAAAGAAGAACGGTCAAATGATAAAGCATGCACAAGTTAAGTTGTGACACTTGTCATAACTTTAGAGGTCACGTATTTTTTGTGACTTAAATCTCTAAAACGACTATAACTTGTTAACAGTAACTTATTTCAAAAAACCAAAAACACCAACGGCTATAAATCCTATAATTATGAGTTGTATGTTTTATTATTATTGTAACTTTGTAGAATTATTGTCAATGTACCTTTTTAATATGAATGTAATTTCTATGTATTAATATGAACTTTATGTTTAAATTGAGTTCAAGTCTATTAATGTTACTTTATATTATTGTGATAATGTACAAGATTGCTGCTCATGACATTTCATCTAACCAAAATCTTATCTTTTGACTTGATAACAAAATCTTAGTAGCTGACGAGCATTCAATAATATTAATTTTTCTTTCTAGCATATTGAACCATTAAATGTGTAGCCAAGCATAACCTCCTCTCTTCTAGATATATATTTGCCTGAGCATGTAGCTGGCATGTTTATGGATTTGATGCTTTCGCTTAGCATTAACGCGACAAGTTTGATCGGGCAACATGCTGGTTGTGGGAAATTATAATCTACCATTACCGAATGTCATTTACAGCAAGTACATGTAGGCGCAAAAGTCACTCGAATTCGTTGTTGACCTCGGTTGTGAATGTTGAAAAAAGAAAAAAAATAAAAAAAAAATGAATATATAATAAAACTTTTAATAATTCAACAACAAAGTCGTTGTAGTATAGTGGTAAGTATTCCTGCCTGTCACGCGGGTGACCCGGGTTCGATCCGATCCCCGGCAACGGCTTTAACTTACAAAATGAAATCCTTGAACATAAGATTTTATTTCTTAAAAACAACAGTATGACCCAGGTTCGATTCCCATTGCCGGGAAGCATAAAGGAGATGATTCCAAGCATCAGGCACACCAGGAAGACACCAATGACTACAATCAGGAAGTCTATGTCACCAATTCCGTAAACTCCAGGATGTCCATCTCTTCTTAATTGAGAAAGTGGTGTTACTCTTAACAATTCTAGTGGCTTTTCCATTTTCTTAATCACCTTTTCTACTATCCTTTCTGCTGGGTGTTCTTCTACTACTCCATTGTTTGTTGCTCCGAGTAACGGTCGCTTTACTCCTATACATGTTCTTGCATTTGGAGCTGTCCAGTTCAGGGCACTGCAACACATACAATACTATACTTTTCCATCTAGTCCATGTCTTCAACCCCTTTTCGTATGCAATTCTACCCATCTAGTCCATGTCTTCAACCCCTTTTCGTATGCAACGAGTCGGTCCATGTCTTTATACAATTTATTCCCATCTTCAATGAAATCCCACCTGCATTTACATACAATTTACTTAATTACTTGCAAATTTCTTTATTATAAACTTGTGTGAGAAAAATTAAAAACAAATGTTACGTCTTAAATTAATGTCATTCTAGTACTTACGGCTGTTTCCTCCCGGTATGAAGCCACCAATGCCAACACATACAATACTATACTTTGATCAACATGTATAATGGTAAGTGTCGCGTAATTCAGTAATCAGGTTGAAACTATCTTATATATAATCAGTTTTGGAAATTATTTATTTGGATTACTAAATATTATGTACTTGTATGTTAGTATTATAATATAAGGTGAGGACTTATTTCAGTTTCATAAATTCAGGTTATATTTATTATGTTTCAGATAGAATTTCTACAAAAAAACAGAGTTTATAAGAGAAAGTGTCTTACTTCATATGATCAGGGGAGACTCCTTGAAAAAACACCCTGATATCAGAAGAGCTCAAATGTAATTCTACCCATCTAGTCCATGTCTTCAACCCCTTTTCGTATGCAACGAGTCGGTCCATGTCTTTATACAATTTATTCCCATCTTCAATGAAATCCCACCTGCATTTACATACAATTTACTTAATTACTTGCAAATTTCTTTATTATAAACTTGTGTGAGAAAAATTAAAAACAAATGTTACGTCTTAAATTAATGTCATTCTAGTACTTACGGCTGTTTCCTCCCGGTATGAAGCCACCAATGCCAACACATACAATACTATACTTTGATCAACATGTATAATGGTAAGTGTCGCGTAATTCAGTAATCAGGTTGAAACTATCTTATATATAATCAGTTTTGGAAATTATTTATTTGGATTACTAAATATTATGTACTTGTATGTTAGTATTATAATATAAGGTGAGGACTTATTTCAGTTTCATAAATTCAGGTTATATTTATTATGTTTCAGATAGAATTTCTACAAAAAAACAGAGTTTATAAGAGAAAGTGTCTTACTTCATATGATCAGGGGAGACTCCTTGAAAAAACACCCTGATATCAGAAGAGCTCAAATGTAATTCTACCCATCTAGTCCATGTCTTCAACCCCTTTTCGTATGCAACGAGTCGGTCCATGTCTTTATACAATTTATTCCCATCTTCAATGAAATCCCACCTGCATTTACATACAATTTACTTAATTACTTGCAAATTTCTTTATTATAAACTTGTGTGAGAAAAATTAAAAACAAATGTTACGTCTTAAATTAATGTCATTCTAGTACTTACGGCTGTTTCCTCCCGGTATGAAGCCACCAATGCCAAGTATTGAAGATCAAAATGTCGAAACCCTTCCACGACTTACCTTGGCTTACTGAATTCAGAACTAACACTCTGCCAGCCTTCTTTATTCACAATCTTTATAAGGAATCTGTCTCTCAACAACGTCAATGATGTATTATAGTCCTGCATCCGTGTATAAGTGTCCATTATTACATCATTTTCTTTTGTCGAAATTACCAATTAATTAACTTGGAACGTCTCATATTAGCTATATATAGAACTCTCTTGGTCTCTAAAAATAAGAAGTATATATTTTTCATACGCAAAGTAGTTTAGGTTATTCAAAATGATTATTAATGGAACGTAAACTAACCAGGAAAGTGAACTCAGAGAGGCCTCCATTCCTAGCTAAGGTGTACTTAGATTTTGGCATGGCCGTGTGGAGCATGCATGCAAGAGATTGCCATTGATTCAGGCTTATTGAATCTCCCACAAATAGTATTTTCTTTCCTCTTAATCTTCTTAAAAAATCAGCACCATCAAACCTAAAGGTTGAAGAAAAAAGGTCATATTTTCTAGGGAAAAGAATGGATATCCTAATGCAACATATTTATCTATCACTAAACAAATCATTATGAAAACATGCCATAACTTCATTTGGGTACTGTTGTCACGTTACTAGTTCAAAAATGAATACGTGACAAAAGAAATTCGGCATTTAAGGCGAATGTTACCTTGGAAAAAAGCAATGAGAAGGCTTCCATCTAAACTTGAGATAATTTTTGTCAGGTCTTCCATTTTTTTCACAACCAAATTGTTTCTCAAAGAAGGGACAACTTGATGCATCATAAAGAGGATATGAACTATCATAAACCCATTTTCCTGTATATAAATCACATGAGTTTTTACTAATCTCTTTCTTTCTACTAGTAATATTCCAATTTTGCCCTTCTCCACTCAACACCATAACCAGCAGAAGAAGCATAGCAAAAGCAGTTGAGTTTTTCATGATGAAGAATGAGTTGGTTATGAGTTGCAAATGGTGTGAAAAGTTGGGCATTTAAAGTGGTAAATTTTATTAATGGGTGGTTATATTTTAGAAATACCAAAAAAAAAAAAAAAAAGGTTAGTGGGGGGATATTTTAAGGGTAGTGTACACAAGAAAGGGGAAAAAATCAAATATTTTGAAGTTTACATATTTTCAAAATTAAAAATAAGGGAATTAATTTTACGAGCATTGTATTAGCACGAATACATTCTAATATAGGGTATGGAAAAGTATAGGTATGTTGCTTAGCTACCGTGTGCGAGCAAAGTGAAGCAAGTAACGGATGAGAAACTGAGGGAGAGAAAAAGAATGTGTGTTAACTGCTTAATTAGTTTAGATGATGAAGATGGATGGCAACTTTTTGCTTACTTTAATACCATTTCATAAGAGAATTATAATTGATCCAAGAGTGCATATTTTTATGAGATGATTGATTGGGGTAAGCTTTAATTTTCATGTTTGTGTTGTTTATTTGAAAGTCCGCTTTCAGTTGCAACAAAATTGATAGTGCTAGGTTTCCCTTAGGACTCTAATGAGAAAGCCAACTTGTTACGCTACGACCACTAATTGATATGTGACTAAACATGAACATAACCTGTTTACTCGAATTGTCATCTCTTTTTTTTCAACTCCGAGAACAATTTAGTTTTGTTTCTAGTAGCTTAGTAGTTAATGGCTAACATAGGTAGTATTGATGCAATGTAAGCATTAAAAAGGACAATTTTTAAAAGTATAGACCATGTAATAAAAAGAGCAAGCTGTAGATCTAATCTTGATCAATTTATGTGTACATCGACATCACTTAATAGAGTATCGGATACAATACATGCATGTTATAATCACTATTTATTCGTGTGATGGCACACATATTACTTAGATGTGGTAATCGATTTAAGAAATTAAGTTAAAGAAAAATGGTCTCCAAGGAGTATGACATTTGAGAGTTAGTGATTAATGGTAGTCATAAGCCACGAGCCCACAAAAAACCTAGTCATGCAAGGGCGCAAGGTTCTTAATAATTAAATAGCTTCCACAGCATGGCTAGGTCGAGGCACCTCCAAAGCGAGTTCACAGCCTCCCTATCAGTACAAAATTAGTACTATTGTGCACAACTGATCTAATCTGAATATGGTTATAATCCACCCTATTTCATCACCTAGCCATCGATTTATTGTGGGCATTAGGTTTTGAACTCTAAACACAAGTATTACATGGTCAGTGATCCAACCAACTCAACCAAGTTATTTCCAACATATATATGTGCAACGGGAACTAATTATACTTATTTTGGATCATGGGGCGGGCCATAGCCTGGGCTGGCCACCCTCTGGATCCGTCATTGCATACTTGTTCTAATCATACAAGATATGGCATTCAAGTGTAATGGTAGTAATAATGTAATGGCAGTCTAACGATATAGTGAGAATTGGCTGTAATTCAAAAATCACAGCTTAGTTAAGCTTAAAGGCTAGTAAAAATGCAAATTATTAATACTATGAACAGTCGAACAGGGGGATATACGTATATAACACAAGGGTGCACATAGTAATACGTAATATTGTCCGTCATCTTTTGATGTATACGTACAAATACAGGTATCTATAAGGGTACAAGTAGACATATCTTTTTTGGATGGTAAGATGGATGGACTTGACCCCTCAAGGGTCATCTCAAATACATGATAGCAGTCCAGGCCTTTGAAAAGAAGGGGCGTAATGCTAGATCAAGCAACCTTAGTTACGACTTTGATATATACATACATCGATATTAGGGGTATATAGAATCCTCTGTGCTCATATGTGAGCCCTTTGTTTCCAAATCATCGGTCTCAGAATTTTGGGATTGTGATGTGAAGTATTCCCTCCCTGCATCAAAATGAATTTATGATGAATGTTTGTGAATATACTGATAAATTGTAGTATCAAGAGTATGCTGCTCTTTTTAGTTCTCTAAATTTGGTCTTATACTTACACAAGCTCTGCAGACACAGAGTTCTTGTTTGCACTAGGTGGAAGTGGCAAAATGATTTGGTATGGTCCTTGCGCGATTTCCCTCCTGTGGTAAGTGGTGAAAGAATCATTTGAACAACCTCCTGCTTTCAGCCACTTCATTGACCGCTTACCTCTCACAATTAAGCTGCAATATGTCAATAACACAAAGGTTGGATGGTTTGATAGATTGAAAATGACATTAACAGAAGATTTGACAAGTTACAAGTGCTTAGGTTATGTCAATACTTTTTGTCGTCCATTTCCACTCTAATATCATTGATCTCAACCCCAGGAAGCTCAACTGTGACGACATGACTGCGTTTGGATTCAACAATATTTATCCTTGGCGACCATCCCATTCCTACAACAAATCGTAGGTAACTTAAATCAGAGCAAATAGTATGATTGCTCAGGGAGTAAATAATGATTTATATACTCAAGACTAATACTACAGCAGTGAAATTTGCAAACTACATACCATTGATTTGAGAAGAAAACATCTGTCTCGTGCAACTGCTTTGCTTCTCTTGTGGAACGACAGATGTGTGGCATTCTGATGCAGGTAACACTTCATCTTGTTTACAGGATTCAGTCACCCCAATGTCAGAAGAGTTCAATTCTTCTTGAACAGGTCTAGAATAAAGAGGATCTTTAGAGGCAGGACGAGAAAATAATGGTGACTCAAGGACAGTAGTCTTTTTCTCATTTTCACGCTTTGCAGAACAATCTTTGCATTTGGAAACCTGATTTCCCTGGAATGTAAAAGAAGTCATTCGAGAAAATAGATTGAATTCAACAATACCGTTTCAGTGTAAGAAAGAAAGGATATAATGTCCAATGCCAAAATTAATCAAACTTGGGATCGGAAGGTATGTACATTATGTTTAGTACCTGTTCAGTAGAATTCAGCATAGCCTGCCTCATAAAATACCCTTGAGAGGCAGATGCTTGCCGTCCAAATAGCATTCTGTTATCAAGCCTTCTAAATGAAGTGCTTATATTGCTGCTGCAGTTCTGAAACATTGGATACATTCACATTCTTATTATAACTATGCATAAAAAATGAAAGCAAAATGGAAAGAAAATAGAGAAATCATTCAAAAAATTACATCACAAAGTGAATTGTTGAAAATTAATCAATGGGTTTTTATATCAGCAGCTACTCAGCTAATGTACTGCACTGTCAATTAATTTTACAGCCAAAAATGACAACGAATTTACGGTCTCTTCCATCCACAGTTTGGTAAATTATTACAGGCAGTTCTATATAGGATTATTTAAGGTCTTATTGGATTCTTTAATCTTGGGGGTTATTGTTTGCCTAATATGAAGTCTAAACTCTAAAGTGACGAACTACCTTGGTTTCAAAATTTTTTGTCAAAGTTAGCGAACATTGAACATAAATTTATCAAATTGTGTAGTCAAATACTCCTATAATGTAAAAAATATCATCACTGCTTCACTAGACTTAATATGCATAAGAACTATTTTCCCAATGTATTCATTTTATAGTATTTGCTAAGACAAAAAATATAATACACAAAATAGTCAATATTTGAACAAAAATTCTACCTCAAAAATCAATATGGTATACCACTTCAGAATTTTTACTGGTAAAATAGATAAGGGAATTAAGGAATCCAACTAATGAACACAATATGTCAATATATGATCACATTGATAGTATAATATGAATTATAAAACAGCATTTAATATTAGATTATTAAAACACATTCCTAATTCATTGATCTTTATCCAAAAAGTTACTCCACCAGTCCCTCTTTACTTACAAATTCTTAAATGGACCTGGTTCACACTAATTTATTGTGGACCACTAACATTAAAGAAAGTATGGTTGTTTTATTAATAAAAAAAAGTCACTATAATTAAAAAAAAGTCACTATATTGAAATAAAAATCATTTTGGTAATATATAGGCCTAAGTGGTTATTTTTGTAATGAAATATTGTATATATTGATCAATATGAATAATAAAGGCCACTATGTTAAAATTAGGGTAATAGCGTCGTATTTCAAGTTCACAATATTATTAAACGTTGTAGTAGTTTTAATAAAGGTTACTAGGTTAAAAATAAGGATACTATGTTAAAAATAATGGTCACTATGTTCAATATAAAGTCAGTTGCGTGTATATAGACCTCGGGTCCACAATAATCCACGCAAGTCTTTTTGCTCTTTACTTGCATTATATTTCTTTTTATGACGTCCCTTTGAGAATTTTTTCCCCTCATAATATATAGACAAGCGTGAAACCTCCAATGTTAAAGGTAAAAAAAACATGTTCCCAGTATTTGATAAACTCTATTAAAAAGGGATGGATGGAGGACAAATCAACCAAATAAAAAATTCAATAACTTATGGAGGCATGACGCATGAGTAAAGATAGTACTATCATTAACTTTATAAATCACAATAGTTTGACTTTAGCAATTTCACTAACTTCACTCTTACTATCTCTAGCAATTTATAGTTTTACTTTTTGGTGAACATCTCTAGCAATTATGAATATATTATTAGATCCGTTATTTTAAAAGGTCACCGGTTAATAATTTTAATATTTTTGATAATTAAAATATAGTAAAGAATCAAACGATTGCAATTAAAAATGAATACATATAACAAAACAATGAAACACCAATAAATCATGGGATAATACACCAAATTAATAAAAAAAAGGGAAAAAAAAAAATAATTACCAAAGGAATTAAGTGGGCATTAGGAGCAGTGACATCCTCAGTGACAATTCCAGCAGCAAAGTGAGCAGAAATGGTGTTGATCCTACGCCTTATCACTTCACTCTCCATTTTTTATTTATATTTTTTTTAGTTGGGTTTGAAGGTTTATGAACAGTGGATTTGATGATTGGTGAGAGATGATAAAATAGAAGAAAAGATCACAAGATTTTTTCTTTCTTTCGGTGAGGCTTGGCGGCTAATATTTATCTCATTTCCTTTTCATTTTTTTCCCTCTAATTTTTATTTTTTATGGTCACTCATGTTACTACGTATACCTTAATTAAATAAAATTTAAAAATAAATTCGGTGCATATTTAATGCTCTCTTTATTTTATTAGGCTTGAACTTAAACGAGCTTATTGAAAACTTATTAGATCTGATTGAACTTAGGGTGTGTTCTGTTTATCTTACTCCGTATTAGATTTGTTGAACTTAACTAAACTTATCTAAAATTTAAAATTTTTATTGAAACTTATTATACCTGATTGAACTTTATTGAACCTAATTGGAACTTATTAGACCTAATTAACATTACTTGCCTTAGTGTTCAAATTAAGGGCGTGTTCTATTAACTTGATATTCACTTATCTGAACTTATGTTATCTTATCTCAAATTATCATAACTTATTATTATTAGGCCTTATGAAAACTAATTTTAGTTATAATTTGTATTTGGATAACCATTTCAAAGCTTATTTTTCCTAAAATGAAATTATTTGAACATAATAAATGAACTTGTTACACTTAAAAGAAAGTAAAAATAAGGTAAACAAAAAAGGCCATTAATCAAATAGTGTTGAGACAATTTCTCCATTTTCATTTTGAACTCTTAAGAATATAATGTGCCAAGATTTATACTTTAAAATATTTATTTACAATTTTCCCTTATTTATATTGGCAACAATTTAAGGTGTGGCGTGATATAAATCTATACCAAAAAAGCTGCACGGGTATAGCTGGTATGAGCCACCCTAGTAACTATTTTTACATATCCAAACCCGTCCTTTTCCTGAGCTGGATGGGGTTGAGATAGTGGGTCGAGCCGTAAATCGTAACTGATCACCTCTACCTCCCAACAAACCCACACCAAACGACGCAACGTTTGAACCCATTTTGACAATCGAGTATTGACATTTCCTCAAATCAAAATCCCCACCATCCTTCTCGTAGATCCGATCTCCTCCCGCCCACCCCCCTTTTCTCCCTCTCTCTCTCTCTCTCTCTCTCATCGAGTCATCGATCTGCAAATTCGTCGAATTCGGGATCATGCCTCTGTAATCGGAGCTCTAATGGAAGGAGATGATACCCATTGAGTCGCCATTAGAGCACAATGAGCTGTTAACCTTCCCTTCTCTCAGTCGCGAGCCTTCGTTTTCTGGCTGGTGCGATATCAAACAAACTCATCATCTGCAACGAGGCGAAGGCGATAGCGACACTGATATCGATAACGAATTTGAGCTGCCATTTGATCAGCCAGGAATTGGAATAATGGAGAAACCTGGTGATTTGGAGAGAGATGATAGGCATGGGAATGGGAATGAGAGTTATGTTCCTTTTGATGTTGAAGATGAAGGGAATGGGATTGGGAATCGGAGTATTGAGGATTTGGATTCCAAGACTGAAGTCTCACCTGCTAATGTGCTCAAGACTTTGTTCTTTATCTGTGTTTGGTACACTTTTAGCTTGTTTTTGACACTGTAAGTAAATCTTCTTGCTCTAATTTCGACTTTTGCTTTTCTATTTTTAAGAAATGTGGTTTTGTTTTGGAATTGTGAGCTTTGGTTTAGTTTGATTCTGAATTAGGACCTGTTTTATTACTTGATTCATCTGTATCGGACCGTAAAGTAATGAAATCGAGTACTTGGGGTGGTAAGGATTTGGTATAAACTCAATGTGTATTGTGTAAATTGTCGGCAAGCCGATTTGACAATCTTATTTATGTTGACAACTGATTATATATGCAATGCCAAATTTTATCTGAAATTCTATTATTTTGGGTGTTTTTTCCTACTAAGAGTTTGAATTAGTTTCTAAAAGGAATTTGAATTTGGTATAATTAATAATAAGTGCTTTTTTGTTGATAACTTAGCGTTATAAGTTGCATCTATGCAAGTTGGTATTGGATAGTTGCATAATTCTATGGTACTGTGAAGGTATTGGATGGATATATAATATTGCAGTCAGAACAAATGGGTCAACTTTAAAAATTGGAGATTGAAGAGAACAATGATGTTGTATACGGTGATTTAAACATTGTCATGATATTTGGCACAAAGATAATGTTGCGACTTATGATGATTTAAGCAACCATCTTAGGACTAGCACAAACTATAAACATGTGTCAAAATTGAGAACTTAAGATGGTTCCACATTCCATCATATATTTGGAAGGCTTTTCATTTGAAGAATTGAAGGGGAAAAAAAAAGGTTATGCTAGTGATTTTGTACTTCATATACACTTTTAGTTCAAATCCATAAATTAAAGTTGGTCATTAATTATTAATATAAAAGCACTAAATTAGCAAAAGCGCTAAATTAGCATTCTACCAAATCAGTCATAATTTAACGGTGTTTAGTTTATAGTAGAAATTAAATTTTAACAACTTAAAGAGAAAACATATGATTTAATATGATTGGTTTGGGAGTATGCTGATATTACGCTTATAGATAGGTATACATGAACCGTCTTGTAAAATAGCCTTGTTGTTTGTCCTAAGAAGAAATATGTATACAAGTTGTGCTGAGTAGACAGTAGCAAAATTGGATGTTCTAAGCTTCTTTTTATGAAGGGTTTTGCACTATTGTGTAAAATAAAGATTCAACCTTAAAATCCAAGGTAAATAGGGAATTCACTTCTGGTATATTAGTGTAGTTGTCAGATAGCATTATTTGTAGTTAGGGAACTTTTTTTCCCCTCTCTTTTTCTTGTTCTAAATATATTGAAATCATCTTTTGTTGCTTGTCAAAGCAATTGACATCCTAATACTTGTAAATTTGTTGTGACTAGGTATAATAAATCTCTATTAGGGGATCACATGGGGAAGTTCCCAGCTCCCTTGTTGATGAACACATTTCATTTTGCTATGCAAGCTGTCTTATCTAGAGCTATAACTTACATTTGGTATGAAAGATTTCATAAAGGTGTACGCATGACATGGAGGGATTATTTTTCTAAAGGTATGCCAGTTCAATTACTTTGACTTATATTCTACACAGTTTTTTTTTTTTTTTTTGGTTTCCAATTCGATTCAGTTATGTTCTCTTATGACATTACATGTTGGACATCTTATAAAAACTAGTAAGATGTTAATCATGATATCCCTTAAGATGTTGAAGTGTTTGAAGACAATAATTTTTATTATGCCTATTCTTAAAACCTAGTCCTTTGAAGCTCTCAGATAAAAGCTCCTTTGGCTTTGGCTTTGCTTAAGTTATCAATTGTTACCTTGTAGTTTTAAGCTAGGTTACACAAGACGATTATGGACATGGTACAATTGCAAAATTGACATGATAAAATGCCAACCTAAAAGTGGGGCACATAAATCATAACTTATATCATAAAAAAGGAATGTGACCATTCATTCAAAAGATCCCTCTACTCTTATTTTTTTAGAAAAATAAATAAATAAAATTTATCTCAATTGGAATCTTGAGATATTACGTTGGAAATGAATTCTTTTACTATAACAAAACATGTATTTTCAAAACAATAACTATGTGGGATCTTGTAAGATTCGTCTTGTTTTTATTTTCCTTGTACCCTTGTGGCATTTGTTTCCTAGTGTCCCAAAATATCAATAAATCAAAACCAGACATGGTATTCCACACATGTTTAGGTGTATCTCACATGTATCGGTGTCGGTATTGGACCCTAGTGCGACAATTACATGGATTAATTGTGATTTTTAGGTTTCAAGGACTTTGATCTAAGATTATCTATTTTAATTTATTTTATTTTTCAATTTATTTATTGGGGCTTTGTGAATATTACCTTCCATAAGATTTCACTTTCTGTAGGGATTTCCAAGGTTTCAAAATTGATCTTCATTTACATGTATTGTTGCTCCTTTATTCGACTAGCATGTGAAAAATGTGGGTCATGGTGAATGAAAGAGACTAAAGATGGGTTGAACCTATTTGGCCAAACTTGTCTCAACCCCCCCCCCCCCTCCAAACAAAAAAAAAAAAAAAGAGGATAACCTACACATATTATTTTATTGGAACTGTAAGGGCATGTTGTGTGCTATAATCTCTTTCAATAACTAGCAGATGGATGGATGACTTAATGTCTATTTAAATTTATTGTAGTAAAAGTTTCTGTTACTGTTAGACTGTTAGCAATATAGCATTGACTTATCTGATGCCTAACAATACAGATGGCCTCTGCCTTTACAGTTTTCCCTACAGCTCTTGCAACGGCATTGGATATCAATCTGAGCAATGCATCACTTGTTTTCATCTCTGTTACATTTGCCACCATGGTTTGTCTCTTATACTTGAATTTTATGTTTATGCAGTATGGTTTATGCTTCCATTTTCTAGCTTCTTGTTTAAATCTGGTGACCTTATCCTCTTTGTAAAATTGTAATTGTTCGAATTTTCCCTGTAATTTGCAGTGTAAATCCGCTTCTCCGATATTTCTTCTTGTCTTTGCTTTTGCTTTCAGGTAGGCAATACCTTTTCATATCTTCCTTTCCCCCTCCAAATCGTCTTACTTTTTTTTTCCTGATTATGTCTTTGCATTTTCTCATGTTCTGCGTAGGTTTTGTTCCCTTTTTTTCTTAACCTTTTTTTTTTTTTTTTTTTTTTTTTTTTTTTTTTTTTTTTGAAAATTATAAGATGGTGAATTAAAAAAGTTTGCTTTTTATTCTTTTCTAGTTTTGTAGTTGCACTATTCGCATAAAGCTATAGAGTATAGATAACACTGTAGAGGCTGATAGACAAGTTTAACTTTCATCTCTATGTATTACCTTTTGCTTTTCCAAATTGAGATATTCAAATTTTATTTTTAGTTTTGAAAATATGATTTTTTTTTCTTGCTACCTTTACAACATAATTGTACTAGAATTTTCTGCCAATTTGGCTTGGTTTTTGTTGATGTGTCATTTGTATGTATTAATAGTAGCATGGGGTGAAAATCTTAAAGTGCGCTTTTGTATCCAGGAAGAAAAGAAGAGTGAGCTGTGAATACACAAGATTTTAGGATTAGTAAAATTATCTAACATTGGATGGTCAACATTCAATTCCAATCTATCTACTATAGGGTTAACAGCTTCATGGTTTTCTACCAGTAACTCAGTAAGCTTCAGCAAGAACTTTCTGTAATTTCTAACTTGTTCTTGTTTTCCTATGAAAAACATCTTTTTTACCCTTTTTGCCAATGCATAGAGCCTTTTTTAAAATCCTCTAAGGCAAGATTTTACTGTGCTACACAGATTTTGAGGTGATATTGATATTTATTACTATAAAGTTAGTTTCAGTAATGCTATGATAGGACAAAATCCATATATATTTTACGTTTTTTTTTTTGGGTATTTTAGCAAATTTAGATAGCTGCCTCTTTTGGTAGATAGGGGATGTACTTTTGTTAGTACTCAGTTATATCGATATTAATCTTCATTCTTACTATAACTAAGAATCAAGGATGACATTCATATGCTTATTTTTGCCAATTGAATTTGACATTCTTTGTTCTTGATATAAATTTTTTATTGTATCTTGGTTGATTTAGGTTGGAGTCTCCAAGTGTTAAACTTTTTGGAATCATTCTAGTCATCTCATTTGGAATTCTATTGACGGGTATGTGCAATTTTTTTTTTTTTTTTTTTTCCTCTCTATCTTTGCATGGTCATGGATGTAAACATGGTCTTATAAAAGTAGAAGACCTGAAAAAAATCTAGGGATCCTAGGTTGGGTCTAATGTATTGAATTTTGTAACCTTATTTCTGCAATGCAAAGAGGCTATGACAATTTGTATTTGTCTGCGGCTGTGCCTGTTTATTGGGTTAACAGTAGCTGCAAAACAGCAGTTAGCAGTGCTTGATGTTATTGCTGACACAGTGACTAATGGAATTACTTTTGACATATTCATATTCTTTTTGACTTGCAGTTGCAAAGGAAACAGAATTTGAGTTTTGGGGATTTATCTTTGTTATGCTTGCTGCTGTTATGTCTGGATTTCGCTGGTGTATGACACAGATTCTGCTCCAGGTATTGCCACTTCCATGCGTGATTTCTCCAATATGATGCTTAGTTGTTGAGATTAGAAAGCTCAATGGTCACTATAGATGATTTCTTATGGCTGCTTGCTGCTGTAGCTTGACAATTTGATTTTGGTTTTGATGTTTTAATCCTAACTTTCTTTTTCACTCTTGCCATGGCCGGTTGATTTGCATTGTGGTTGTATTTGCTGTTAACAAAAAACTGCACTGAAGAAAGAATCCTATGGTGAGTACCGTGTTTTGTTTGCTAAACCTTTATGAACATAAGCAATTTATGACAATGTTGTGGCCATAGTCTCTTACCAAAATGCTATTATAATTCATCTTGGAAATAGTAACTAATTAATTAATTAACTAATTATGTACTCTCTTTAACTAGACTGCTGCAAGACACTAGGTTCTTTTTTTTGGGGGGGGGGGGTGGTTGGGGGAATAGTGGAGCTAAGCCTATTTTGTATGCCTTAATGCCATTTTGCCATCTTGGAGTGACTTTCTAAACTTCATCTACTTGCTTAAAAGCCTTATGGCCAAACTACTAAAATTTGAAAGTTTTCTCCCTCAGGTTTAAAGAATCCACTTACCTTCATGAGCTATGTCACCCCTATAATGGCACTGGCAACTGGTTTAATGTCACTTTTGTTGGACCCTTGGCATGAGTTCCCACAGAACGAATATTTTAACAGCTCCTGGCATATCACAAGAAGTTGTTTGCTCATGCTTTTTGGCGGTACCCTGGCTTTCTTTATGGTAACTTTTACTTTTAATTTTCTGTAGGTCACAAAAGCAAATCAGATTTTGGTTCCTTCTGATGTCTTTTTTTTTCCAGGTACTGACAGAGTATGTTCTGATCTCAGTAACAAGTGCCATGACTGTCACGGTAGCGGGTATTGTTAAGGAGGCTGTTACCATAATTGTATGAACTCTTCCAGAAAATTTTCCAATTAGTTGTGAAAATGTAATTGTGTCCTAATTATATATGTTATTCTGTGTGCTGTTTCTGTGTTCACTGGGTTTTTGTAATTCTATTGGTTGTCTGCTTTCAGTTTTCCATATACTTGTTATAGATAGCATTTCCTACGTGCAATTGTAGAAGCTTAATATTTCCTCTTATTATTTTATACTTGCAACACTCTTTTTTGGCACGCTATTTGAGGAAGTGATTATAAAAGGTAAACAAACAGATTAAGCTATAAATATTATAGTTTTAAGCAGTGGTAAAATTATTTCAATTAATTTTTTTGTTTACCTAGTCTAATATCTTAATTTGCTTGCCAAAAAATATATAAATATTTACTCTGTTTTGCTTGCCAAAACAGCGTAAATATTTACTTAAGATGTTGTTAAACTTTCAGGCAATTGATGTTATGGCTTTTGTAGTATGCATGCTGTGTTCCAAAAATTCCTAGTTTTGTTTTCGGTCATGATTTTTAGATATGACAACTTGACAAGTAATTTAGGATAGTTGATAAAAGGAATATAATCTATCTTGGCTCCTAGGTTTGACTAAAAATATGTTTTGTTGCCTAATTTGATTTAGTTTCATTTCATGGACTTGTGAAGATGAAGTTGAAATGTTAATTGTACTGCTATATTAGACGTGGCTGAAATAATCTCAGTCTTGTCTCCTATGTACTGAGGTACTCATAGAAGTGTATGTTCCTGGTGTTGTGGAAAAAACCAAAAAAATTGTATAGAAATTTATAATATGCTGAATCTGAAAATGTTTGTCCACTAAATCATTCTTCCACTAATTCTGAACATTCAACTAAAGAGGAAGTTAGCCTCCTTCTAAAGGAACAAACAAGAATTTGCTTGATAGTGTGACACGCCTTGTTGGCCCAAAATTTTTAAATCCTTCTATTTTCTGGAGTCCTTTCCAGTTTGAATTGTATTAAATTATATATTAAGTTGGCTTTTATGATAACAGGAAATATAAGCTCTGTGCCATTCGTTTTGAACTGAAATGTTTGTTATTATCTTATTAGTGCTTACTAGTGACACATCTTGTTGGCCTAAAATTTTTAAATCCTTCTGTTGTCTGGACTCTGGAGTCCTTTCCAGATTATGCTAATTAAAGGGTAAACCAAGAAAGTCAACTTCAAAAGATTCCCAGTGGCAGGGTACCTAGTAAAAATTATCTGAAGAGGAAAGAACGCACTTTTCTTTGGCTTAAAAGAAAAGAAAAGGAATAAATAATCTCAGGAATGCGTTTTTTTTAAAAAATAATTTTTAAAGTATGATAAGAAAACAGCGTCAATCTATTTGATCTACCTGCAAGATATGTGTATAATTGTCGTGAGTGATTTGAGATTGTCACTGCTTGATCATGAAATATAGATGAAGACCAGGTGAGAGCTCACTCTGCTAAGATTTTGTCCTAACATCAGATGATGTTCTGTGCTTTCCGCGTCTGTTTGGGCTGTTAATTGATGATGTGAAGGACCTTTTTTGTTTTAGCATGTTAAATTTTATCTGTGATTATCCTTTTTATTTTCCTGAAAGTTAATCAACCTGAAAATTTATTCTCAGAGACTTGGTGGCTGTTACTGATCTCCTATTTACTGCATTCAGGTTGCTGTCTTTTACTTCCATGATGACTTTACTTGGTTGAAAGGGATCGGTCTTCTGATAATCATGATTGGTGTCGGTTTATTTAATTGGTACAAGTAAGTACAAGCCAATATGACCTTCTTTGTTGTGATGTAGCTTACGATTTTAGTTTACGTCATTAAAATGATTTTCAATGTGCTTTTATCACTTGAAACAAATTTTTCTGATCTTTATCCACCAAATTACTAACATTGAGAACTTCATGTTGGCTTTTGAATCTAATTTTATGGTTGAAGTCTTGTGGAGTACATAATAAGGGAAAATAGGCTATGAACCAAAGATGCCACCTGTGCTCACGAGACAAAAACTTAGTCAATAGTCTAGAATCATCCTAGATGCTATTAACCTATCTTTGTAACCCCCTTGCCAGTTTCAATCAATATTCAAGCTTTAATCTTTATTTTCTTGCATTGTCAAATCTGAAATATTAAGCTAGAAAACCAGTCCATTATAACTACATACCACCATTATATACTATTACCATACTGTACATCTAATGTCTATGCTTCATGTCTCAAACTAGTGGTGAAAATATCCAGTAAAACTATACACAGTAATATGTTGCTGATAACTCTAATTGAAAAAACAAAAAATGTTGTAAAAGAAAAACAAAAAACAAAAAAAAACTAGTGGAAAGAATTTCAACAGAGATATAACAATAAGATAGAACTTCTCACTTTTTCATGCTTAGCTTCTGCTCTTACTTTTTCTTCTTTTTTTTGTTAGATATCAGAAGCATCAGAAAGGTGAAGTCCATGAAAATGCTGGGGAACAGTTAGGAGTGACTAATATTTCTGCAAAGTATGTCATTCTTGAAGAGGCCGATGATCAACATGATGGCATTTGAGACATTTTGATTCTACGAGGTATGAATTTGCATCAATGCAGAACTTTATAGTTCATTCTTGAATGACCCCCACTCCCACAAGAGAACTTGACTGAGTTATTTTGTTGGAAGTTACAGTATTGCCAACCTTTTCCCTTGATTTTACCCCTTATTTTATTCAATCATTGCTTTGTGTAGAAATTCTGATTGTGAAAATAATCTTACTCCAGTTACACTTGGGATAGCTGGATAAGTGTGAATTTCATTAGTAAAAGTAGATTTCTGAAATGGGCATCCTTATCGATCAATGAGGTGGCAATTTATGTGCAGCTTTAATGTAGCATTGCTTGTGGTGGTGGAATCTCATTCAGGGAAGTTGTCTCTTTTATCTCATAATAAGTTGCTGTAGGGATATTAAAAGAGAGGGAAAGGGACTCATATACTAGCTATCTGCTATCATGCTCCATCGATCTGTTTGCCTATTTGTTGTTTGGCGACTTGATTTATTGCACATCTCCTTTTCTTTTTGAAAACTGATTGTACCTTGATTCATAAATTTCCTAATACGTATTATATTAGCTTGCATGACAAATCTCATGACCAGTTCTGTGAGCTCACAGAAAGAGGCTTGACATTTGGACAGTTGGAATTTGTTCTTGTAATCATGTGTGAGTGGAGCTATTAAACTTTTTTTTCCCCAACTAATTTATTTAATTTATATTTTTGTATATTAGGGAGGATCAACTAACATTTTAACTCCTGTGATTGTGAAGTTCAATTACCTGAACCACCCATAATTGACAACCTTCTATAAACTGATACCTTGGCATCATAAATGAAGAAACCTTTATTCAGAGGCATAGTTGTTAAGGTATGTAGGGTCTGTACTTAGTTTTATATCCCCATTCCTCTTATCATATGAGTTAAAGGCCTATCAAACATCAGAAGAAAAGGGTATGTCCTTGCCAGGTGAGGTTAATTGAGAATTATCTGAGAACCCAATTTTCATGTTCATGTCACCCACTGTGACACTAAATTCCATATAATCATGCTTCTTCATTCCCTTTCTTGGGACTCACCTTAGTGATTGCTAATGCAAGATATTGTGATTGGTAATGTGACAATTATATTGTTTGCTTCATGTTGGAACATACTTTTACAAAATCCTTTTTCCTTTTTACTACTCTGTAATTCATTGAGTGATCAATATCAGGATAGAAGTTTGGTAGGGAAAGTTGAAACAGAAAATAAAAAGGGACAGAGCGAGGGAGCAAGTTTCTTATTGGGTTAATATTAGTTTAATCCGTGTCCTGTCAGAAGATCCATCCCTTAATTAATAGGTGTACCTTCTGAACTATTGATGTTTCTTTCTACACCATATTGCAGAACTTACACAATTTGTGCCCATGCCATATATACCTTATATTTCTGCTCATCATGTGACCCCCCAATTTAACTGTTCAACAATATAGAACATATTCTGTTGGTAAATCCCAATGGATAAATGCAAAAAGTCTCAGCATCTGTAGCCGAATGCGAGAAAATTTATTTTTTTGAAGGAGTTGCTTCCTTGCACATGCATTAAAAATACTTCTTCCAGACTTCCAGTTAAAATTTTGCATCCATCCTTGAGGAACTGCATGAACAGCTTTTAATTGAGTTGAAAATTTTCCTTTCTTTCCATTTCACCTATTATTTGTTTATTTATTTTGGTCCGATTGAGCTGCAAGGACATTACAAATAACAAAGGGTAGAAGGAATTCGAACCTGTGACTTGCACTGGCCAGTCGTCTTTGCCATTAGGCCAAGACCACATTGATGTGCACCTATGTTAGTCTCGGCTATCAGTCTCTCCAAGACTTTTTTCAACAAAAAGTTTGCTTATTTTGGCACCTCCTGGTCAAAATCCTTGCTTTTTTGCCCATTACATGTATGTTTGCTTGATGGTCTGGATCTGTAGGTTTTTGACTCAATGCTTAGTGCACCTTCACATCATTGAATGTGTAGAACTCAGTTTCTTTTTTACTTGAAAGTGAGTCAGGGAAACAATATTCTTTACACAAATGGAACTACAACAAATTGAAGTAGAGCTATCAAACTTTGTTTTACCTCAATATTCATTTTTTTCTACAACATTGATAGAATCAAAAGTAGGTGGAAATTGATGAAAGTTTGTTTAGAAGTTCTGGTTTGCATTGCCTTTTTTTTTTTTTTCGTAAATCTACTAAAGCTTGCCTTATTTTACAGGACTCCCTCAATGGGGACACATTCAGCTTAAAATTAACTTGTAAAAAGTGCATCAAACCTCTTCTCCAGGCAACCTGTATGTATACAACGTAACTTGTCTTCAAACTTCTTGTTGGATTGCTGCCAAAGCTACAGGTTTTGATGGCAGACACAGTTCAGGTGCATGGTCATACCATACATGAACCTTCCCAGCTAAAAGCGGCTGCTTCTGCTCGTATTATACACGTACACTGCTTGCTGTATCATTTTTGTACCGTTATACTAGATTGTACATGTATTACAGAAGACATTAAATTTTACTGCTTTCTCCAATTAGGCTGAAGGTGTTATTAGCTTTAGCAAACTTCTGTACATGTGTGTGGTTGCCAATTTTGTTCATTGCAAAACATTGTAGTACTCAATTTTGGATTAATTGTAAATCATTTTTTCAACACATCACTGCGGATTATCATCAAGCATATACTATACTATTCCATATGTACACAAATAATTAATTTTAAATAAGCAATGTGTACAAAGGAAAAAACATGTTAAAATTTGAAAATAAGACAAAAGAAAATGTAAATCAAAGGGACATTGAACCTTTTTTTGGGAGCTGAATCCCCACATAAACACCCAATAGATAAAAGATACCTCATCATTTTATTATAATGAATGGGGAGAGAGTTGAGGGGGAGAGTAAAAAATTATGGAGCCATATTCATGAAAAATATTACATTGTCATGAGCAAGCTATTTTGTGTAATTTTGACAACCATTTGTATGACAAAGGCAATGGAAGTTCAAGATGTTCCCATAATTAAAGCTAGAGAGATTAAGTTAGATGATTAATCTTCTTGTTCGAAGCGTATTTCGGGTATCATTGAAGGTAATGTTGTAAAAAACAAGTGAACAGGTTGAATTCCTATAATTGAACGGAAATGACTTATTGAATTTGATCTATTTGATGAACTAGGTTTTTACAATGAATTACTCCACATACACATAGTATATAATTGATTTTAAGTATTACAGGTCAAAGAGGATACTATTTTCAGTTTTGTAATGAATCTGTAAATGTTACGTTCATGGATTTTGTTTTGGGTGTTTTTGTCCCTCGAGCGAGTTACGTCACAAAGATTGGTCCGACTGAGCTGTACCTGCAAAAACAACGGAGACTCCGGATGGTGGAGCTCTGCCTCCCACGATCAAGTTAGTAACTTGAAAGAGAATAAAGAGTAAGGAAATTTAGGTGGGGATCTGCTTGGATTCCAAGCTCAGGTGTTTCTCTGATGAGAGAGAAAGTAGGCGTAATAAATGATTGAATGTGTCCCCAAAATGGGGAAATATCTCCCTATTTATTGGGTCGTTGGTAGAAGTGCCCCTATCTAGGTCACTTGACCTAGGTTTTGGTGGGTTGCGCCGAATTACGACGCTTCTTGGGATTTGGGCCCTTGAAGGCCGCAATTTCAGAAGCTTATCTGAAGGGGACATGTGTCAAGAGGCTATTGGGCCACTTGGGCCATCCTGAACTTGACACGTGGCCTCCTCTCATTAGTCCACATGTCTAGGGTATTTTTACCCTAAACATTTTCCCCTCACAGGGGTCACATGATGCCTGTGACACGTGTCCACCTATCAAAGGTAAACAATAACAACGAATAGTAAAATTTGAATTTCAAACGGGGATGCCCCCGTTTTCACCTTCTATAAATAGAAGTTTACCCCACCTTTTCTCTCACTTCATTTTCATTTGACTTTCTAGAGAGAGAAAAAGAGATGTTTAGAGAGAGATTCTCTGCTTCCGTCTGCGTCAAAGTTTTCCGGATTTCCGTGTGCTAACCTTGCAACACCTGGTCACCGTCTGTAGCTGTTTTCAGATTTTTCAGAGTTAAAAGTAAGGTAACCGCCTGTACCATCTTTAGTTTTTCTTTTCCAACTTGTATACATTCTTTTTCCCGTCTGTATACATAGTCTTAGAAATAAAATGAGTTCTCAATCCACACACTCGGCACTGCCTTGGACACTCAGCCGGTCTCCCGGAACGGCTGAGTCTAGAACAGGGGGTGCCTTTTCTAGACTGTCGGAACTTTTGTGCTCATCTCCAAATTCCTCCCTCTCTGTGTCTATGTAGGACACAATGGCCAGAGTCAAACAGACGGCCAGAAAATCTAAGAGTCGGCGCACTATGGAAGTGCCTGCCGACGAGGTTGTTCCGGATGGGGAACATGAGGATTTGGAGGAGAGCGACAATTCTGATGAAGAGGCTCCCTCTTCTTCCGGGAGCTCGAGCATACGCGAGGTAGACAATGAAGAGGTCGCCTTCTCTAATGGATCCGGGGAAGGATCCAGCGGTATTGAGGCCGCTGAAAGATCGGGGGCCGAGACTTCTGGCTCCGATCAAGATAATTTCACGGCTGACTATCAACAGCCGGCGAAAGTTGCTGACAAACCCAACTCGAAGAAAATTAGGATGCTTCTGGGTGACATAGCCCTGCTGAAGAGTGGCTTCAGGGCTTTCAAGGAAAAGCACCCCTTTGGAAAGGGGTGGGATATTATCGTCCCGCCTGCTGATGTAGTGATGGCATGGGATGACAAGATAGAGAATGCAGACAATTATGTTGTTTGCTACGAGGCGGTAATAGAAGCCGGCCTCCGATTCCCCCTCCATACCGGGATTAGGAAAATCCTGAAGGGGTATGATCTGGGAGTTTGGCAGCTTACCCCCAACTCATGGGTGAATATTCTGAGCTACATAGCCGCTTGTGAGCTCCAGAACTTAGCTCCCAGCTTCTCTGCCTTTGCTTATATGCATTACTTGAGCAAGGCCCCAGGCGGTCACGGGGCATGGTACACTCTTTCCACCTTGCCCCTGTATTTGATGAGTTTGGACAAGGTGTCCAAGTGGTCAGGGTGGAAAGACAAGTTTTATTTAATTTCTTCACCAACCCTGAGACACAACCGGACACTGCGCCGGTACAATCAGGAACCGATTCTTCTAAGCAGGAAATGCCCTCTCCCGGCGCTCTCTACTAAGGCCCGAGAGCAAATAATGGAGCCGAGTTTCTTTGAAACCACTACTGAGCCCTTGGGGGATGGGACTCACATCATTGTTCCGAAAAACTAAATCCCCCACCCGGACTACTTCAAAGATGAATGCTTTCTGTCTGCCTATGGGTTAAGCCCCATGTTTCCCAAGGGTAGATCCACTTGCATCCGGCATGTATGTAGTTTTTATTTTGTACTACAAACTTTTTATGATTTTTTCTAACTTTTATTTTCTCCTTGCAGCCGACACCTTGAAAATGGTAGACCCAGCCAAAACTCCGGCTAAGTCAGCAGTGCAACTGCGCAAGAAAAGCGCGCTCTCAAAGGGAGCAGCCGTTAAGGCCAAGAAAGGCGGGGTAAGACCGCCTGACTTTAGTTTTTTCTTTACATTTCTTGCAAAGGTATTTTTCCGGTTAGGTACACTTAACTCTTAATTTGTAGGACACTGCTAAACGCGTTCCATGCTCCATCTCCAAGCTTTTTAAAAGGCAAGGGGAGGATCTGGAAAAGACCCCGGCTGCAAAGACCGCCAGGAAGGACCCCCCCAGTCAACCTCCACTGCCAACTTGGGTCGTCCCACGACCAGAGGCAAATCTCCTTCTACAATGAAAATTATGAGTGAAAGCTCAGAACGCTCGCAGAAGAATGCGCCGGATGTCTCTACGGCATCGAAGGGTAGCCAGCCACCTAATGTTGCAGTCGGTGCGGCAACAACTGGGGAGGAGGAGATTCCTAAGCTCCATCCGGAGACCCAAGGTACGGGAAAGATTGAAATACCTTGTCCACTTAACTTCATGAGAGTCAAGACTAAGGTAGACCCCTCAGGGAGTTCATTCAGCACGCAGCCGACAACGGATGAATGCCAACTATGCTGCATCCTTCTCACCAAGTACTTCTACTTCTTTTGGTGCAGATCTTACATACGACGAGCCGAATCTTGTTGGGTTTGCCAAACGGATGGTGAGGACCCTCACCCGGTCAGAGAAAAATTCCATACCTGATCTGCAGGTGGTGGACTTTGACCGGATAATGGGCCAACTGGCTGAGGTAAAAGATTCTTTAACTCAATTCTGAAATTTTTTCTTCATTTTTATCAAGTATTTCATAATCCGGCTGCTCATTTCTCAGGTAATGCTGAGGGTGGATGGGCTCCGAGGCCCCTTCAGGCGGAAGCAAGAAGAGGTAAATGACGCCAAACGGAGGGCCCTTGAAAACCTCAACTCTGCTGAATATGCTAATTATATGTGTGATTTAGAGATTAAAGTAGTAGAGTTGAAACAGGAGGAGCTGATCTGGAGCTTGACGGCTGCGAATGATGAAGCCACCAGTCGGGCTAATGACCTTGAGCTAAAACTAAAGGATGCTCAATCTGAACTCAAGGAATTAGAAGACGCTGACAAGGAGAACACAAAGTTCCGGGCAGACGTCAAACGCCTGGGGGTGGAGATCATCAATTTGCGGAACCAGCAGGTAGATGAGATTGCCAAGGAGTAGACCCGGCTGAGCGAGGAGAATGAGCGGGACAATGCTGCCCGCCTTAAGATAGCATGGGGGATCCTTGACCCGGATATGGACTTTGTAGTTTACAAGCTTAGGTATGATTACGCCACCGCAGTGTATGATGCCCAAGTACTGGGAGAGGCAGCTCCGCCTCGCTTCAAGGAATGGGCTGCAGGTCTGGGATATGAAGTCTCAGATAATAAGGAGGAGCCAAAAGAGGATGAGAAAAATGAAGGCAGTCAGCCTCAGGTGACTGATAACCAATCAGAAGCCCTCCCAACCGGTCAGAACCAGCCGGAGCAGCTTCCACCTCAGCCTTAGGCAAGCCTCCCCAAATTCAGCGGTAGTATGCCAAGTTCTTTCTTTTTCGGCTTGTAAGACGAGTATGTTGTATCTTTACCAACTGTGGAGTTGGGTAAACAATTTGTTTCTTTAGCTTCTTCACCGGATGTGATTCCGGTTAACAATTATTCTGGCCTTTGCGCCATTTTCGCTATTAATGAAGTAAACCGACTCAGTCGATTGTTTATATATGTTTGTGTTTGAATTTTTTCAGTTTGAATTTTGCGTATATACTACAATTCTTCAATATTTTGCCTAACTTAAAAAAAGCATGCGGCAATTTGCAATCTGGCTACTCTTGCCCCTGGACGGCTGTGTGGTTGGTTTTATTTCAAATTGATTAATTGGCTTGAAAACACTCAATACTTGGAAAAGTATGAGGTGTTTTTAGGCCAATTAATCACAATGGTGATTGCCCCAAACCAAGTGCACAGCCGGCCATTAGAACGGGTGCTTCTAGCCTCTAACCCAGGCGGTAATATTCCGTCTAGGATTATTGCATAGCCATTACACAAACTCTTTTGCCCCAATTAGGAGAGAGAGTGCAATTTGGAATAAATAATCTAAGTAAAAACTTCAGCCGGTAA